TTAAAAATATTTAATATTTATTGTAAGAGTTGGGTACAGTGTGATCACTTTTGATAAGGGTAATCACAAAAGATTTTTTTGTTTTGTTTGGGAGTCTAAATTGAATCTTAAAGTGAAAATATATGACCCTGAACAGGGCAGGAGAAGCAGAAGGTGACTCTGGCAGATATGGGTTCTATGTCCCACTACATGTTCATTCTGTATTCGAAAGCTAGAGTTGTCCAGGAATTTGAAACATGAGAATCAGTGAGATCTAGACTATTACATCATCAATAATCCAACATTCTTTCCTTTAAGGAGTTAGCCTTTGCCTGGGTTATTTAGACCTGGAGCTTTTTAGGCAGAAAGAGTGACATTATTTGTTCTACATCTGAAACCATTTTATATCTGCCTGAAGCCAGCCTGGAGACATCCAAATCCCTTTTGTCTGTGAGTGAATCGGAAATAAATCTGGGTGATGAACCTGATCACTATATCATTGCACAGAAAATCTTCTCATTCTTATGAAAGTGCCTTTATTATGTCATTTTTGTAGGAGAAGAAGGAAAAATAGTCATCATAGCTTCTTTCCTCCTGGGTACTATAAACATCTTTTTCTATTATTGTAAGTTAAAAAGAATTACAGTACCAGAGAAGATAGTTTATTCCTCATCTTTCCACCCATTACCAACCAAGTATCTTCATTTCCTTTATTAAATTTACCAAATTTTCTTTTCCTGTGGCCATTTTATTCAAGGAATTTTTATGATTTTAATACTTTAATCTTGCTTGGAGGATTACACATATAATTCTCTTCTACAATGATGATCCTTGTGTTACTTTATCCCCCTCTGTAATTATTTTTTTTATAATATTTGGGCACAATGGCATAATAGGAAAGCCAGAGAGAACTGTATCTGGCATTTGTTATTTTTAAACATTGAGCATATTTGTTAAGCTCAGTGAGCCATAGTAACTTCATTTATAAAATGAGATTGATGTTTATTACAGTATAGGGAAGATGTAAATGTGTAAAGATAATAAATATTGAAACCTTATTAGGTATTCATTATATAATTCAATATATAATAAATTTCACGTGGTAGGCTACTTGGTGCAGTAAAAAAAAAAAAACAAAAAAACCCACAAACTTTAGTGCCGTTCGAGCCTTTCAGGATGGGATTATTAACTTTTTAACAAGCCTTTTTCATTCGTGAGCTTTCCTCCTTATTCATAAAATGAGAATTCTAAACCTTACTTTGGAATGAGGAATATAAAGTTCCTACCTTGTCATTGCCAGAGATGATATAGGTACTCTTTGTCTTGTTTGTTTCCTCTTTACTGAGTTTCCTTTTAAACACATTTAAAATTCATCCCTGATCATTTTCTTGCATTTTAGGTTTTGCATCTTCATTTTATTACTGCTTTTATAGGCTCTCTTTGTGTTAAGGTTCACCTTAGAACTAAAGTGCATCTTACATTCAGTAGAGTTCCCTCTTAAGAATTGAGTACCATATGCATTAGAACATTTTTAAAGGTCAAGCATGTATTATCACTGCTCTTACTTATTCTTTTAATTCAATAGATAAGCCCAAGGCAAAGTGAAATGAACTTGATGGTCAATGAATCACAAGCTAGAAAACAATTTTTCCATGAATAAGAAAGAATATAATTTTCACTTGAGCTGGAGAATTTCAAAGTTTCTGATGATTTCCTATCAGTAGGTTAAAACAAGGTGCTTTGAGCATAGGTTGGCCTAAATTTGAATTGCAACTTTACTACTTTTAATCTTTATGATTTCATGTGTTTTGTTTAGCTACTCTACTTCTCCATTTTCTTCTCTCTAAAATCCAGGTGATGACATTCCTTAATGAAAAATGTGATACATATATAAAACAACTATCATAGAGATTGAAAATATAAACCTACTCTGAACAATTTGTTGATAGTGTTTGAATAGTGGGTAATGTATTAAAACTCCTTTGGGGACCATTCTATTGTACATGTTCAATGGTATAGAATGAGGAATGGGTGTGACTAGGTCAGAACGTTGGTCCCTTATAGCTTCCTTCCCAGTTCATAATGAGCCTTTGATGAATGACCATCATTGTCATCACTGTTTTACTGAGATACACCAATGGTTAAATGAAGTTTTTCTAAGTTGTAGTGAATAGTATCTAAGTGGGATAATTATTTACATTTTTTCATACATTTTCAAAGATGCATTTGTTCCATTTTATTCTTTATTTGTAGCCCTTTGATGTTTTCCCCATCTCATAATCTTAAATAAGTTGCTCATGAGTTCCTACTGAATGGACCAACCATTATTTAGCCAATTAATATTTTTTTATTTAAAAATAGGTCTTAAAAGAAATCTTATTTCTGACTTAGACAAAAGTAATACACTTTAAAATGATTTTCAAGCACCAACAACTTAAATTTAGTAAAGATTTGACTTTCAAAAGCACTCTAGAATTGGAATTCTTTTCTCTTTTTCTGTAAGAAAAAAAAACAACTTTGATTGTTCTACGACTGAGTTGAAGTTATGAAAAGTAGATACTATATAAAATGCAATCATTATACAACTTCTAAAACCTAATCTTATGAGTACTTAACAGACTCAAAATAGAATTTCAGTTTGATTCCAAACAGAGCCCACTAATGCAAGCCTATCTCTCAGCTCTAACTCTAAAGTTAGTATATTTGTTATACTGACTTCAGACATGATTTTAGAGATAAGTAATTACATACAAACTAATTTCTGTAAAGTTTTAGTATTGTTATATGTTGTTCATCCTTTCTGTTATATATTTCACACCTAGTATTTTAGTATAAAGTAGTAGTTTATTTTTCCCAAGAAAAATTACTGTTTGTTTTATTCGGAAATGTTTGTTATTTAAGACGACAAAAGAATATTTAGCAAACAGTATAAGGGTATATTGAGATACCATAATAAAACAGTAAATTATTACAGAAAGTTACAGATAAAGAAATCCCTCCCTAAACATACTATACTAACAACTATGAACATTTCATAAATTCTACCCATTTTGGTCTTTGCTTCAGAATTACTTCTTATTCAATATGTGATTTAAACTAACAAATTCTTCTCAAGTTCAAACATGTTTTAAGTTTCAGGGAAAAAATAAAACAACCATTTCCCAGCCACCATTTTTATGATAGTATAGTTTAAGTTCTTATAATGAGAAATACAGAGATGTGTGTGAGCATATTTTCATGTATACATGTTATTTTCACCGATAGTTTTTACTAATTAGCTAAGCAAAAGATACTCAAGAGGTCAAGAAACTGAAATCAATTCATCAGAACCGTTTGTATTGATAATACTTTGTTAATATATGGAGAATATGATTAAAATAAAAGGAAGCCAAATTTTCCATTGAAGCCAGATATGTACAATCAGTGTGGGTAATATCTTTAGGAAAAGCCTTTGATTACACTTCTAAATTGAAAAAGCTATCATAATTGTGATTAGTTAATCTATGATGCTTTGCTTGAAAAATAATACAGGTTACCAGTTTATTGCCTGCTCTTTGAAATTTAGTGGGTCTATCTCTTAAAATCATAGTATTTAACTTAAATACATAAATCATCTTAAAGTATAATATTCCCATCAAGTGAATATTCCTATGCATTAATCATAATAAGGGCAAGGGGAATTATTTTAAGCAAGCAACTGATGTATGTTTGGCTTTATTTCTAATTTCTTTTTCTCCTGGTTGGTTGGTTGGTAATAAAATGCTAGTTGATCGGTAAAATTTGCATAACTTGAAAGTAATTACTGATAGTTGAAACATGTCAGACTACCTTTGTACATGGTGTTGGACCAGCTAAGCAATTGTTAGATACTCTCTTTTCCAAATGAAACTAGAATTTTATTTATTTATTAAAATATAAAATGTATATCATTTCTGAAAAAAAATAAAATATAGCACTGATGCTTAAACCAGAATATTTTTATCCCCTCAGTGAACCTTACTTTCTCAACACAGTTATAAGACCTTGAAGAGGAGAAAGGATCTTAAACTTTTCTCTAGGTCTTGCATAATGCTCTCTGCTTAGTAGTTATTTTACAGACATCCTATTCCTAAAGAAATGATTGGATGTGAATAAGAAAGAACAAATAATTATACAGAAGAAAGAGCAGGCTTTAAACTAAGAGAAATTGTGACAAAGGGCATATGCTTAGAAGTCAGATGTTCCTGGGATAAAAATGAGAGCTTTACCATTTGTAATATCTCTTACCTATTTACTCTTAATTTTTCCAAACTTAAGTTTTTTCATCTGTAAAATGAAAACTACGATGACTTTGGGGAAGTCACTTGAGATAATGGGTGAAAATACTTGTCACAGCATCTGAGATTCCATGGAATATAAACATGATAAGGTGGTGCTGTTGAAAAATACCGGATAGGGCCTCCCCTTGTGGCGCAGGGGTTGAACGCTGGGCTGCGAGGCTGCCCAAAGCCTCTGTAGCGCCAGTTCGATCCCCGGCCACTGGGCGGGGGTCCCACATGGCGTGACAGACCTCTCCTGCCGCCCTCTGCTCCCCTCAGCAGTGTACCTTGGTCCTTCTGCCTGTTCTGTTCCCGGCTCTGGCTCTGGTGAATTCTCTCACCCTCCCGTGCTTCTGACTGTACCCAGTGCTTGTATAAATAAATAAATAAATCTTTAAAAAAAAAAAAAAAAAAGAAAGAAAAATACCGGATGGTCTCACTCATAGCAGGAATTTGGAAAACCTAAATAAGGGACCAGGAAAAAAACTAATTATAATAAAGTAAAAATAAAATCAACAAGCAAACCAGAGACATACTATGTGGTGGGGGGGAGGGAGTAGAATAAAAACAAGAGGGGTGGGAACTGTATGAGGACTATAACCAAGAGGAAAATGTATACATTGTGCAAAAATGAAAAGTGATGTAAAAAATATATTACAAAAAAAAAAAAAAAAGAAAAGAAAAGCCATGTCCTCAGATCGCTTTTCATGAATCTCTTTACAGGTGAAGCATACATGAGATTAAGCAAGCTTCCTGAAGCAGAGCATTGGTATATGGAATCATTGAGGTCCAAAACTGACCACATTCCTGCTCACCTCACCTATGGAAAACTGCTAGCTCTAACAGTGAGTTATTACCTTCGTTACCCTTTAGAAGTTGGTTTTCTCTATTCAAATTGAGGTGATTTGAAGTACTGGGTTCTTAGCCAGTAGCTTAGCTGCTGCGATGTAATGATGCCAATATTGGGCAGAAAATACAGAAAAATATATTCCTTTGGTTGGGGGTTTGCCATAAAGAAAGTGTGATGTGTTATGATTCCTCAGGAAATTTAATGGAATTATATAAATGGAGAAACCCCAAACATGATTACATAATGATATTGTCTTAGTATTTGTCTGAAGATTATCTTCTGCAGGCATCTGCAATGGCTGTAATATAGAACTATAGCCTGGTTCTTTTAAATTATATGAGATTTTGTGTGTATGACAGTCAGTGAAACCTGGAATCCTACTAATTAGATATCATTCTATGAATAACGTGACCACTCTGTAATGAGCACGGGAAACCACATTTCCGTGAAAATGGTGTTAGTTTGAAACATAAAAAATTACTAATATTCTACCATTGTGAGTTCTAAAAATTGTCATTAAATGTGCTTCAAAGTAATATTAATATTTTTATTTTATACAATAGGGATTGCCCAAAATATTAATTTTCTCAACTCACACACCTAATAAGTAAAACTAGTCTTCCATTTTCACCTGAATCTATTATTTTTTTAGCTAAACCATCTAAATTCTCTCCAGTATTAATAAAAATAAATATTATAAAAACAGTGCAAATGGTCAAGAAAATGATTACTAAGTGATTTAAAGAAAGTTATAATATTTAAAATGTAGTCACATTTTATTTCCACATAAGTTGTGGATTAAACACCTAAAATTATTATGTGTCAATTTTAAGACATAATAAAATGCTATTCATGCAATTATATTAGGCAGACTAGATAACCAGAAAACATCCCACTAAGGCATCTCTAGATATGGTTAATAAAATCTGACACAGTTCTTCCAGCCTAAAATGAGGGCAGTTCATATAACTCCACCTAAGAATGGAATTCAGATATACCTTTTGCTCTGGCTTCTATCTCTGAGATGCTCTTACGAAATTATTTTTCATTATGTTAATAAATGACTGCCTTCCAAAAAATATCTACACAATAGTTTCAGATACCTCATTATCAAAGGGGAAAAAAAAGCAGTCTTTTAGAAAAGAAACAATTTAAGCCTTAAATGTACTTAGACTGGATACACCTGGACTGTCACCTCTTTGGACATAGAAACCTGTATCCTTTTCTTTTCCTTCTTTTTAAACCTGAGTAAGTTGTTTCCTGTATCAAAAATGTGACTTATACATTTATTTTTTATTTTATTTTTTTAAAAAGCACATTTAAACACAAGAATTAGAAGCTTTAATTTATAGAAATATAGAGAAAGGAAGGAAATACTTATGTATAACAACCCAAATTTTAATCCCCCCAAGCAAAACTTTTATAGCTTCTGACCTGATGATCAGATGAAATACAAACCCTATTATGGAATGACTTAAATTCAGAGTGCCAAAAACCCCATAACCATCTTTAACAGTTTCTTTTTGAATTATGAGATTTGGCAGATTTTTGATCCCAGTGGATTGCTTTTGTCTAATTTTGGGTTTCTTGGCTTGGTAATATGCCATTGATTTAACATGGAATTGGCAAGGTGGAAAATGCCACACATTTTGACTTCTGAATGTTTTAAATCTATTATAAAATGAAATAGATTAAAAGTCTCAAGAGAAAAGGAAATAGAATGATGTTTTTACAGTTTTGTCGAAACTGACCAAAGGTAAAATATATAAAATGAACATGTAGCTATATTAGACTTAAAGTAAGGTTTTCATTAAGAATTATATTTTATAAGACAAATTAGGAAATATATTGATTATTGGTGTTATTACAGCAAGAAGAGTGATACACTCAGTACATTTTTGTACAAATTTCTCTTTCAGAATTTATGTATGTATGATATTTAGAAAAGTTCAAAGGGATTTAGAATTTCCCAGCATGCTTTGATGAATTCCATAGACCAAATCCGTTTGTATTCCTCTGCCAAAAATGCCCTTTTCCTCTATGCTAAAATTTAATGTCCTTTGTGAACTCTTGCCTGAGTCTTTCAAGCAGTTATCTTTTTCCTTTCTCTGTACTTAGATACAACTATTCTTTCTCTGTAATTGCACTTTACAGATTGAATGGCAGGCATAAATCTATTTCTGTCCTTTGACACTAGACATAGGGCAGTAACTCAGTCTTACCTTTTTGCTCTTTAGTTTTTGGCATTTCATTTTCTTGATAACTATCCTGTATGCTCCTTCTGCATTTTTCTCTATTCAGGTAATTTCTGGACTGGATACATCACTTTTTAATATTTTTGTTTCCCTGCACCTATTCTTATTTCTTCACTAATCTCTTCATTTGGTCGGTACATGTATTGAGATTTACTACATCGTGCTAGGCATTTCTGTATTCATAGTGATATGTAATAAATAAATGAAGGCTAAGGTGTGGGTGCAAAAAAAAGTGTGCATCTCTTGACTGCCTTTATTTGACTTGTGTTATTTCATGAACTTTATAGTGGGTCTTAACCACTTTTTATAAATGTGGAAACTGAGCTTCAAAGATTTAAGAAACATCCCCAAGAATAGCATAACTATTAAAATGGTAGAATTAACTTCATCTCAAGGTTTCTGAATTGAGAATTGTTAAATTTCACTGCGTATTATTTTTTTAAATGGTTTATTTATTTATGCATACAAGAGCTAGGGTATAGGCTAGAGGTCCAGGGGGTGGGGGTTGAGAGGATTCACCAGGGACAGAGTGGGGAACAGAACAGGCAGATAGACTGAAATACACTGCTGAGGTGAGCAGCAGGTGAGACAGAAGAGGTCTGCTGCGCCATGTGGGTCAGCTCCCTTGCCCAGGATCAAACTTGTGCTGCACTTGCTGCTGATAGTTTCATAGTACTGAGACTTAACCCCTTGCACCACCCGGGAGGCCCTCTACCCCATTTGTAGCGAGGCAACCAGCTGCAGGGCAGGCAGGGGGCCAGGATGCTACAGGTCAATATTAAGTAATTTTTAGTGTAATTTTTTTTTCTGCTTATTATACCTTATTCTTTTTCTCCCCCCTCCCCTTTTTGAAACTTAAATTTAGATATTACCTGTAAATACTAGTTCAGTTTGAATGGTTAAACACTTTTTTTTTTTTTTTTATTATTAGGTGTCATATGTCATGAATTTAGGATTTCTGTTTTTGGCTACTGCATTTTAACTTGAATACAACATTTCAGGCCACCTAGGGAGTAGTTCTGCTTTAGGGTCCCTGGTAGCTTCCAGGTTTAAATTATCATTGGGTCTAGGTGACATGAAAATATATGAAATATGTGTAACTTTCATACCAATGTCATGTCCAATTAAAATACTAAACATGAACTCTGTTTAAAATAATGATTTATCCCTACTTTGAACTTTGTTACCTATGGCAAATGCCATGAATTTTCAATTGGGCATACATTAGAGAAAAAGGAAGAAATGATATTTCCATTTTTGTATTTCAGATGACTTCACAGTTTTTCCTAAAACTGTGTGATCTCTAGTTGTGTGTACATCCTACTTTGATTTTTGTCTTGACTTTTGTCCAGTGTAATTTACCTAAGCCAAATATTTTTCAGTTTTTTGTGAGCCAGTAAAATTAATATTGACTAAAATTTCAATAAAAGCTACTTGGCTGTTAGCTTATTTTCCAGATTTAAGTTAGTAGGAAAGAAGGAAGGATATGGGTGACTGTAATTCTTGATACAGAAAACCTTTATTTTGGCTACTGCATAGAAGTGTGGAGCCAGAGTTCTGTGTCTAGCCAAAATTAATTGAGCTACATAAAATTCCAGTTGTGAAAGTACTTGAGGTTCAATAGAAAAGTTCCATACCCCAGGCTAAAGTGGGGTTGGTATAGTCTATTTGGATATGTCGTGCTCTATGTTTCTTGAATTTTTTTTGTAATAATTTTTATTTAGACCTGAGGTTATTTTTTCATTTGGCTCTCTTTAGTGCTTAGGTCTTCATTCTTGCATGTTGACTAACACTTAGGTTGTTTTATTGTAATCAGCACAACCATGGTTAGCTAAGAGGGGGAAGGGAACAAAAATAATTTTTCCTGTGACTCTGAATGATGATTATGGATGTGTTCAATATAGGATACAAAATCTATTCTGTGGAGAAGGAAGGAATAATGTAATATGTTGCTAAAATATTGGATGAGATTTAGGTAAAAATTGAATATGATGTTTAGCTACGCATTTTTAATATGAAGTTGCTTTGTATAAAATTTATGATTTAACATTCTGGCAATAATATAATTATCATTGTATTATTTCCACTTTGAAGCATAAGGAATCTGTCAATTAATTTTTTAGAAACCACCCTCTTACTCCAAGATACACATTTTGTTACCTAGAATCAATTTTACAATTACTCTTACTTATTGCCACAAAGTAACTAGCAATCCAAATATCTCCAAAATATGTCTGATTTTATTCTGCCTTTTGTATTTCAATTAGTAGAAGTCATCAATCAAGCAATTTTCTTTTGCCTGATTTTTTTTTTAAAGATTTATTTATTTATTTATACAAGCACTGGGTACAGTCAGAAGCACGGGAGGGTGAGAGAATTCACCAGAGCCAGAGCAGGGAACAGAACAGGCAGACTGAGGAAATACACTGCTGAGGGGAGCAGCGGGCAGCAGGAGAGGTCTGCGTGCCATGTGGGACCCTCCTCTGGTGGCCGGGGAGCAGCCGGGGATCGAACCGGCGCTGCAGAGGCTGCGGGCAGCTTCACAACCCAGCGCTCAACCTCTGCGCCACCGGGGAGGCCCTCTTTTGCCTGATTTTATTAGGAGTAATACAAGTTAAAATACTCAAATTCTGTCATAAAAGGTGAAATGAACTAATTCTAGCTGCTTTTTGTTTGTGAATACATGCTGCTATGTTTGAAAATAGTCACTTTTTATTTGGGAAAATAAGATTATATTGCT